TTTTACCATCTTCAATAATTCTTTGAGTATTTTAATCTCCTCTTTATTAAATTATCCATGATATGAGCTTACATTTAACATTGTATGAGCATATGCTTTCATAATGATAGTGTTCGACCAGTCCAGCCGGTCCACACGGACCGGCTCAGGTAGAACAGAGACAAAGAATTTCGCCTCTCCTGTATGCCGCTCGAACCGCCAGGTCCAAGGGAGCTATTTAGGAAGGATTTTTTAGAGAGTTAGGAGGGAAATTTGAATGTAGGGACTTCTTAGAGATTTCCTTTTTTATTGTATGCATTAAATAGTTTGTTTTCCTAGGGTTATGACATCTTGAATTTGGCTGAATTTGAGATCTCTTAGGTTTTGTTGGGCTCTAGCGGTGTCCAGAGATTTGGGAGAGATAGATCCTCCTCTCGAATAGAGGATTAATTATATCTTGGTATTTTTCTTTCTGTACTATTTGATTTCTTTCAATAAAATTACTGTTTTCTCTGATTTTCATTGAAGATTGGAAGAAATTTCTCGCTGTTTTTCCGAGATTGATAGGATTTGCTTGAAATCTTCAAGTGTTTCCTATCAAATTGGTATCCTGGCAATTTCCTGGGCTGAAATAGAAGTATTCCTTGCTGAATTTTGCTGTGTTCCGTATCTGATCGTGTTGTTTTGGCTGATTGGAGGCCAGAATTCGCGTCAAACTTTCGGCTCTTGCTATCGGAGCCTAAATCCAAGTTCCCATGGCAGGAAGAAAGGTAGAAGTGTTGGAAGGGGAGATCGAACAATTGAAATTTGAAATTTCAAATCTCCAGACTCAACTTTAAGATGTCAAAAGTCAAATTTCAGCCATCAACGAGAAGATGGACGGGAATTTTTCCAGCTTAGGGGAGATGTTGAAGAAGTTGCTTGACGGACAATCCAAAACGGCGTCGTCAGAGGTGAGGGAAGCCTCTGACAACCTAGGAAGCAGGGAAAACTCTAATCCAATAAAGCAATGGGATGATCAGGAGGTGGAGACTCAAAAAGGAAAAGAAAGAATGCCTCCCCTAGAGCCTGTTCCTATGGAGGAGCCGAGTAGAGGGTATGGGGAGAAGTGCGAGGAGGTGGAGCATAAACAAAGGGGTGTTGAATTTGAGAGGAGAGGGGAAGAATTTGGAGGGGAAAGGGTAATTATGATCAAAGGAGGTGCTGAATTTGAAAGAAGACTATGATAATTTGATGAAAGGTTTGGGTATGAGCATAGAAGGGATGATTGGGACACTTTGGGAAACTACCCCCTTGGGGAATGAGAAATTATTGAGGGAATATAGGGAACAGAGGCTATTCGAGAGTGAGGAAACATAAGATGTTAATCTTTGAGGGAGAGGATGCGCACAGCTGAAGGTAGAAAGATATTTCTCCATCAATAGGTTGACGGAGGAGGAGAGACTGATAGCAGCGGACCTATATTTGGAAGGGAAGGCTTTGTCTTAGTACCAGTGGAGGGACATGCGACGACCCATATGGAGTTGGAGAGAGTTCAAGGATTGTTTGGTAGAATGTTTCATAACTGAAAGGGGAGGAGACTTTTATGAGCAATTATTCGTCTTGACATAAGATGGTTCAGTGATAAAGTACGAGAGAGATTCGAGTACCTTGCTAGACGATTGGGCAGCCTTCCTGAGATAATGCTAGAGGAAAAATTCATGAAGGGACTGACAACAGAGATCTGGGCAGCGGTTAGAATAATGAGACCTCATGACTTGGGAGAGACTATGAAGCTAGCTCAATTGATGGAGGATCAGAGACATCTGGAGAGAGAGATGGGAGGCAGCAATTAAGGAGGTCCGAACAGGAGGACCGCCACCTTTTTGGCCCTCAAGGAGCCAACACTGGGTACTCTTTGGGAGAATTCAAAGGAGAAAACTGTGAGAGTAAGACATAGGGATAAATTCAAGAAACTCACATAAACAAAATTACAGGAGAAAATGGTGAAGGGGCTCTGTTTCAAATGTGACGAGAGGTATATGCTAGGGCATAGGTGTAAGCATCAAACTCTTCAGGTTCTTACCGCTTGTGATGAAAAAGGAATGGATGAGGGTATCGTCTTTCCACCTTGCGGATAAGGTGGGTCTTTAGTAGGGGAGTATTGTTAGACCTGTCCATTGGACCAGTCCACATGGGACCGGCTAAAGAGAAACATAGGCGGAAGAATTCCGCCTCCTATACTCCGCTCAAACCACCGGGTCCAAGGGAGCTATTTAGGAAGGATTTTTGAGGGAGTTAGGAGTGAAATTTGAATGTAGGGACTGTATATAGATTTTATTATTTAATGTTTTCCTAGGATTAGGGCATCTTGAATTTGGTTGAATTTGATATATCTTAGGTTTCGGGGCTCTAGCGGCGTCTAGAGATTTGGGAGAGATAGATCCTCCTCTCGAATAGAGGATCAATTGTATCTTGGTATTTTATTTCCGTTCTATTTGATTTCTTGCAATAAAATTACTATTTTCTCTGGTTTTCATTGGAGATTGGAAGAAATCTCTTGTTGTTTTTCGGAGATTGATAGGATTTACATGAAATCTTCAAGTGTTTCCTATCAAGTTGATTGACTTCAACAATAATAAAAGTTCTCCAAAAAAATTGAGCACAACAAGCAGGTATCCTATACCAACATAATAGATGAATACATGTAGAATTTAAGTCATGTTGTAGAATTGATGTCGCCTTTAAGAACTATGGCGTGTGGGAAGAGATTGTCAATGTCACCTATGAGCATTGACTCTTAGAGCAATGGAGAGAAATGTGATCCTGATGTCGCCTGCAAGCATTGTGGTGGGAAGTAGTGGGAAGAGATTGTCGGTGTCGCAATAGAAGTGAAGGCCCTATACAATCAAAATAAGAATCAAAGTGAACATAGACTAGAGAACAAGGTTGATGACATGCAGAGAAATCACAATATTTGAGATAACAAAGATACACAGCAAATAAATGATACAAAATTGTAGTTGATGATGAGTGGAGAAATCAAGCCAAGAGAATCATGTGGAGGAAATTGGCAACATATCAAATAAATAGCATTGATCAAAGAGTGGTGATAGGAGCTCAACGATGGCATGAAGGATGATAGATAGAGGCAAGGCCAAGAAATGATGCAATGGTGAAAGACTCAAAATGCATGGGAAAATGAAGATAGATATGCAATTATCAGAGCTTAACACTCTAATAACATATGGAGAACATAAAGAGTGGAAATGATTTTTTCATATTTTATAAAGTATTTGATACAAAGAAATATATAGATTGATCCAAAAATGAAATAAAAAATAATTTACATGAAAATAAATACAAATTTCAAAATAGTTTGTAGATGCCGTTACTTATTATGAATTTATAGAATCCTGATTTACTTCTTTCATAGTTTCATATGTGGGATCCTGATAATGATGGAAGTATCATCCCCACACATCTTATACCATTCATCCACCTCTTCAAATATTAAGTTTTAATATATATGTCAACTATTAAAATTTGGCATTTAAAATATGTTCTCACACATTAAAAATATATATTTCAACTTTTTCCGATCCAAATGTTAAATTTTAAAAGTTGAAATATACTTTAAATCTCAACCATTCAAAAGATGGATGGATAGTATAAGATTTGTGAGAATAAGTGCTCTTGTCATTCTAAAATGATAGTGTCTCTATGAAAGCCTGTTTGCAGATATATAGAGACTAATATCTCTTTAGAATGATAGAAATATTATCCCCACATCTCAACACCATTCATCCAACTCTTCACATGGTTAGTTTTAATATAAATGTCAAATTCTAAAATTTGACGTCTAAAATATATCCTCACACATTAAAAAACATATTTCAACTTTTCAATTCCAAATGTTAAATTATAAAAGTTGAAATATATTTTAAATCTCAACCCTTCAACAGATGGATGTTTTGTAAGGATAAGTGCTCATAGCAGTCTTTATGGAGGGGTGTGCATTTATGCGTATTCATATTTGTATATAAATCTATATGTGTATGCACGCACATACATTTGTATGTATACATAAATATTGAGATGATTTTAAGTTGAATCAAATTAACTTTGAGCTAAGCCATTCCCAAACAAAGCAAATTGACAATGAAAATCCGAGCAATTATTGAGTGAATTTTGAGCAACAAGCATACTTGCAACTCCTACTAAGACCCATCACTCCCCTCAACCTTTTCTATGTGCATCAATTATATCTCATTTTGATAGCATAAATCCCAATCAACTAAAATAATGCCACAAACAATAGAAAGAACAAAAAACACCTGTTATGGCCACAATAGTCGACTAGTACTCCATCAATTGAAACCCGAAGCACATGATATTATTGTTCGCATTTTACAGTTTCACTTTATAGTAATCTCTACTATCTTGTTTTGCCACCTTTTTCATTCTTCAGTGAAATAAAGGGCTTATTCGATCCATTGCCCCAGTATTGCAATTGTTAACAAACTATTATGACGTTTCAGCACATCATGTTTAACAACTCATTACATACCAAAAAGTCATGACAAGATCCTCTAGCTAATAAAGGACCTGAGCAGCACCAATAAAAATTCACATTATAAACACCACGTATAATGTAAAGAACCTCGGAAGCACCCCGAATAAATAAAGAGGCATGCTAATTCCAAAAAAAAACCTACATTTAAATTCAAGCTGCAATAGCTTTTGATTGGGTAGACCACTAAAACCATTCCCCAAGCAAAAGAATATGGTACTCCCTATTTTGATTTGTCCACCTAAAGAAGAAGACCCCAATTCATACTGTACATTGCAACACATTGCAGGAAGGTTATTGAAGATGTCACATATGTCTTATAATCATTGAGATGGATAAAAACAAAAAAAGAGAAAAGAGTTACCTTCTAGCACAAAGGTTAGTTTATGAAATTGAAAAATATATGCAAGATATAGTTTTAAGATGAAACAAAAATAAAAGTTAAACGTATCAGTGAATGAATTAAAACCTTGACTTCACGGTAGTGAACAAGTACAATGTGCATTAACGCCCTGCAAAAAAAAAAAGAAACACATTTATCCGTATAACTCTAAAATAGAGAAAAACCTCAAGTTCAGGAATATACTACTGCCCTTATATGATTTCCTGCGCATAAAATTGTGAATCTTTTCATCAAGCCAAAGAGGGCAAAAAATCAGATTAAATGGCTTTTGTCTCTGTATTGCTTAAATGTTTCCTCTAAAGAGAATATATAAATAGAAGACTTCAAGCATAAATCATATCGTTTCCAACCAAACGTGAAAGGTTGGGGCCAATATCAGACTAACGACCAGTTGTTAAATTATGCCAAAACCACGACCCAACTCCAAAAGAACAAATGGAGAAGGATTCAAAAACTCAACACCACAGAGATCGGCCAAGGATGCCGATAATGAGAATAAGGGACTCAAACAGAGAAAACGTATCAAGCGTCTAACTATAAAATGGAAATAGTAACTAAACAGTTGTCTGCCACAAGAAATACAGGTTGGAAACTAAGATAATTCAGGGTACTAAACTAGAGATAATTCATGGTGATGTTTGTAAACAATAATTAAATAAGAACCAATGAAAAAAAATATTCACTAATAAATTAAGAATTGCATTTTCATGAATCCAACAATAAATTAATATTTTTCAAAATAACAAAGGTTCATGAAGCAGTTTTTGTTTGACTTAAGTAATGCAAGGATGCTGGTTGCTAGCTGAAAAGCTACAATTTTTTCTTTCTTGGATGCTAGAGGATCATCTCATTATGTTACCCAAACAACGATAAATTCTCTAAAAATATAATAACGGCAAGTTTTTCAAAGTGCAATGCAACTCATAAAGTTTTTTTTTTTTTTTTTTGTCTTCAATATGTAAAGTGCAACGGGAAGCGTCTCTCTTAATAACTAGAGCATTCAAGAGTTATATATCATATATACATATATTATGTGCCTATAATATTTATTTAAAAATCTAAACAGCAAAACATAATAATTTTTCAGCAGATAAGAAGAATCGTTCAATAATTGTATTTTTATTTATTTAAGTATTTTGTGTTAAAACCCGTGCTTGTCATGTTAATGCAGTGGGAAGGTTCCATCATACATGTTCCTTTGTATGCAGATACACAAAATCTGATGCATATCTTTTTAGGCGTGTTGGATTGATGCATGTTTTTTTAGGCGTGTTGGATTATAAAATCCCTTGGTCATGGTGTCTCACGAAACTGACCATGCACATTTTTCTAAACATGATGGAAAGGCCTAGTACTCCCCGTGGATGCCCCTTATGGAGAAGAGACAACAGGAGGCTACTAAGTCTTTCAGTGAAACAAACTTGCAAAGGACTTGAAAATAGCAAAGTGAAAAGAACCTTATATAAACATAAATGTGACAAATAAATTTGATAATATTATATAATTACAAAATGTGATAAAATCAATACTAAAAAAATGCAACACATGTCCCGCCAAATGAACTACAAGAATCACTGAACAGGAAATTAAACACATAATCAGACATCAAAGAACTTGGCAGGCTTGCAGCTCATCAAATGAGCATGAACAAGAAATCTCGTTGACTTCAAGAACACTCAAAATTATGAACTATAGTTGCACCTAAACCTGACCAAATGAGAGCCTCTATTTCAAGGCGAATGAAAGCTATTGCCAAGGTTTACTTTTTATGCTCATTTGGACGAAATGCAAGCATTAAAATACACATCTTTAAGCACACAACAAAGTTACAACTTCTAGCACTCACCACCAAATTTATAATGCATGCATGCCAGCGGATAGAATGCGACCTTTTAAAACTCAAAACTAAACATTTTGTATATCGTAATGATCAAGCATTCATGCAAACAAAAAAAATTAGATTTTTTCAAATCATACACATATATATTGAGTCAACTTTCAAATTTGATTGTGCATTTAAAAGTATGCAAGTACATGATGCAAGCGCATTGGAATGGATATAAATGCATTGTGTAAATACATCAAAAATCATACAAATACACCAAAATGCATGCAGCGCAATGTGTAAATGCATTGAAAAATGTGCAAATGCATCATGTGAGTGCATCGAAAATTGTGCAAATGCATTATGCAATTGCTCCAAAAAACATGCAACTAAATCGAAATATATGTAAATGCATTATGAAAATACACTTAAAAACATGCAAATATGCTAAAATATGAGTGATTACATCGTATAAATGCACAAAAAAGCATGCAAGTGTATTGCATAAATACACCGAAAAGTATGCAAGTGCAACATCTAAGTGCATAAAAAATTGTGTGAATGCATTAGACAATTGCTATAAAAAGCATGCAAGTGCAACAAAAAGAGAGATTGTATTATGCAAATGCAGCAAAAATTGTACAAATGCATCCAAAACTTACACATACATAATGCAAATGCATTGAAAAGCATGCAAGTTGTGAAAATACATCAAAAATATTGCAAATTCATCATATAAATAATTAAAAGCATGCAAGTATATCATGCAAATGTACTGAGAAATGTGTAAATGCACTATACAAAAGCATAGAAAGACCTGCACATAATTCAAAAGATGCATCAAGTTGTCCAAAATCAACTAATCTGCATGTGCTTCGACAAGCACACTAAACACTCAAACATAAAGTTAGAATGTTGTGCAGAGTTAAAACAAAACTAAATTTACCCACTTTGAGAATCATATAACCATTTTTCAAAAGCAAGCAACTATTTTTGAAAAATCAACAAATAATTTAAAACTCAAAGTTATTCATATGTTGCACGATGCTCCCAAGTGGGCCACCTAGCCTATATGGCAAGGTCGTAAGTCCCACACTTCAAGTTTGATCAACCACATCATAAAGATTGTAGTTGACAAGACTTGGATGCAATGAACTTGATCCTCTGCTAGCAATCAAATCGAGTAAACAAGATTTACAATGGAAAAATGTAATCATTCGAACACCCCATTGTAGTCATGTTGAAAGTAGATTCAAATGAAGGGATCATATATTTGAAAATTCCCTGAAATCTTAACCTCAATCATCTTGGCTTTGGAATCAAACAAAAATGCTAAAATCAAACATTTCAAGCAAAATTGACCTCTTAAAACTTAAAGCAACAAATCATTTGACCCTTTATAGCAATTTACCAAGGAAACTTAAGATTAATCTCATCTCAGAAAAAAAATTGATGTTATATGAAGTGTATTCTTATGATCACTCTCAAAAAATCTCAAACCAAAAAGGGTGTCGCATGTGTCCTCCAATCAGGTGATTTTGTCGCTACATGACATCACTAAAAGATGGTTATAACCAGAGCCTTCCAACCAGATGATATCGCTATAAACCGGCACCATTAAATTGCGATCACAGTCATAGCCCTAATATTTCTCAATGGCCCCAAATCCTTGGAGTGATAAATTACATAGTGCACTTAATAGGTTATATAAACCTCTCTTAACCAAAGTTACTTAGAATGTCCGCTTGAACAATGCAACACATTATTGCTAACAAGGATTCTTCGGTCAAGTTGGGTCAACTACCTTTACTGATTAAGTAGACTATGGTCCACAATAGCTCAGGACTACAGAATTATGAGATATTGATTCAGTTCATCATCATTCTCATAACATCCTGTTTAAGCTAATGATAGTAAAAATTTACAATCTTGAAACCCAAAAATTGTTACCATACAATAAGCATTTATCATTCATCAACTAGCCATACTCGAAGATTCTATCTCATCATCGGGAGGGATAATTAAACCATACGGGCTTATGTCTATGAAAAACATAAAACAAGGTCTAAAAGTCCTCGCAAAGTGAGGGAAAAAATCTTTGGACGTGTCTTATACGCAATCTAATCTGCCTTCTAAAAAATTTCATCTAGAGAGTTCTTAACAAAGCCAAACGTGAGATATTTAGAACCCACATGTTGTATTAATCACAATCTTAAAAATCAGTTCCAGGAAAAACAAGATTTGAAACCAAAAAAGCTACAAAAAATAATGCGCACGTATTTTTTATGAAATTAACTCAAATAAGAATATATAAAAATTTCATATTTTGACAATTATTACATTATTACTTGAAATTAAAGAAGTGTTTCTACTACTTTTGCCTTAAAAATAACTAGATTTTGCTAAAGTTGATAGTTGTAATAACACCGTATCTCATCCTAGGTTGCACTACTAAATCCCAGATCCTAAGTAATCCTAAATCAGAATACTAAAGTAATGATAGTTAGGCTGATGAAATAATACAATTATTTTATAAACAACATTCAAGCGAAATGCAAGAAAATTTTTTTAAAAAAAAGTCAGTCTAAGAAAAAAAACTGGCTTACGTACCCCTCTAACATCCAGTAACTCCTCCTCTGAAAGCCCTCTTTGTCTTCACCATGAGCATAATAGCAATGTAAAACATCTATGCTCCCAGCCTAAATTCAGCAAGATTCAACAACTTTATAAATATTTGATTAGCTAAGCTAAAAAATATGAAATTTAAGCAAGCATACTATATCTTGAAAACATAATGAGGAAGAAAGGGACTGCTCAGACAAGTAGATTACTCATTCCAAAAACAAAAGCTTTAATGACAACCTAATTCCATCCAGAACATAGGGAACAAAGAAAGGGAAAGCTAAGGTCACATTAGGATCCGTTCTATTTTGTTCAATTTTGTTTTTTGATCTATTTTTGCTTCTTTTTTCTTTCACTTAAAAGAACATGATTATACATGAGACTAAAAGCTCAAAATAGAGTTCCCTAACTATTGATAAATGTTCAATTTAGTCTGAGAGTTTCTCATTGCCCCATTTTAATCCCTCGGCTATTAGAAATTGAGTAAATTTAGTCTCATAGCCTAGCATAAGAGTTAAAATTAACTCTAAAGTTAAATATAAAGGGTATTTTAGGAATTACAAGTTGATATAAAATTACATTGCTTACATTGCTCTATTTTATCATTTAATAAATTATAATATATATTTAATCAACGATATAATGAGGGTGAATAAATAGTGAAACTAATTTATATTTTTAAATGACCATCTTAAATTATTTGAATTAACCATAATAACTAATATTTCAATTAATTATATATAATTAGTCAAAGTGAAGGCTAATTACTAGTTTAGTTGTACCAATTTTCAATGACCGACTTAATTAAAATCCTAATTAATCATAGTTATTTACTGATAAATATAATTAATTAAGTGATAAATTATTATCCATAAAATAATAAGAATATAAATTTAAAGATCTTAAAAAAATCATAATTACTCTCAAATTAAACGATGTAAATAGTCAACTACTGAGTACTTGTCAAATAAAAGTTTCTTAATAGTTTGAAGCTTAATTATTATAATTGCCACTAATAAAATAGAAATGAACTTAATCAAATCCTTAATTAGTTTAAAGAATCCATTAAATTTTATTTTAGACCTGATTCCCATTATAAAACACCAATAAAATATTAATAATTTTATTTATTACTATTTAACCCTAAGTAATACCTCAATAGTCTAATTAATCAAAATAATTGAAACATTCACTTAGAAATATTTCTGAAGCATATGAAAACATCCTCATAGGAATTTTCCATTTTTAGGAAACAAGAAAAAAGGAAAACAAGAAGCCAAAATATGTTCTCTCTACTTAAATACCAGTTTTTTAATACAACAACAAGCTTTTATCCCACCAAGTGGGATTTGAAAACAAATAAAATTTTCATATTTTGACGAAAAGAGATTCTGCGATATCTTCAAATCATGATTAATGGAAGTACATAAAGTAGAGATTTCAAGGAAATGAAGGTGTTGAACAAAACCATGAATTCATAACATTGATGATAGGAAATAAGCAGTCAAAGAATGTCAAAATTTTGACTAGAAGATTTAGAATCAAGAAAACTGGCCAGGAGCTTTCATGGCATTTACAGCACCGTGAATGCCTACATAAAACGTAGAAAATAATAGGTTTGTAAAAATCAATCCAATCATAAGTCTGCATTTAAAAACATAAAACTATATTTTACACTTGCTTTTAGCTTCGCGTGACTTACTTTTAACTTCTCATGTGCTTCTTTGACAGTCTTTCCATCCTTTTTCTTCCTCCAATTATGTCCATCCCTCCGGAAATATCTCAATACCTTACGATCAAAAAGAAATAGAGAACCACCTAAATTTAACATATACTGAGTTAGCGTATACCCGGCAGATGAATTGCAAGTGGCATACGGTAGATCTTATAGTTTTAAATGAAGACTTATGCAGCGTAAATAATTATAAGTGGCTTTCTCATGATCATTAACGGGTTAGAAGACCTGGGTGAGGAAATATAATTGAATAATATGTACTTGATTGCGGTTCTCACTCCCAAATACTTTCTTTCCCTTTTCGAATGGTACAAAAGATAAAATTAGACGTACAAATCCCTAAAGCGCCTAAAATAAGCAACGCCTAGGTTTGAAGAACAGAAAAGTTTAAAACATAAGTTTACAAGGAAACTGAATACCACCTGCACATTCCAATGCCATATCCCTTAATAGCACAAGGATAAGCAATTGTATTTACATATACCTAAAATGCCCGAAATAAAAAACACTAAGGGTAGAAAACCGGAAGATTAGATAACCAAGTATACAAGGAAACTGCATGTTGCCTACACTTACGAGGGGCAGATTCCATCGAAATTTAATGTGACACTTAAAAAGTATGAAATTAGATTTCATAACAAAGGTTTTATTTCACAGAATTGAAGTCATCAAATGTGAAAAACCACACAAAAGATCAAGAGAATTTGCTAATCAAAATGGTCCTTGAATTATTAGTATAGGGCCATTTTAATCTCAGACTATAAATGTGCACAAAATAGCCTTTAGACTTGTCAAAATATGATCCAAAAAAGTTCCATTGCCAAATTATTTTGGATAAGTTTGTAATAACCCATGTAAAACTTTTTTTTTATTATTCAGAACAATGTAACTAAATGAACCAACTTAGTTCTCTCCCCCATGACCTTAGCACGCGAATTCTACTTATAATCTTCTTAGGGCTCCTAGAAAAATCAAGGAGAGGAACAAACAAAAGAACGAGTAGCGAGAGATAGAGGGGTTGGATATGAAGAGAGGTGGTCATGACCAAGCATGGCTGAGTGCAATCAAGAAGCATTGTGTGGTCAAGCCCAGGCAACTTGTGCCCGAGAGGCTCAAATAGGAGACCGACATTGGCTAAATGAGACATGGAAACATATGAATATAGGATTTGGATTCTACTCCCCTTTTAAAACAAGATAATCTAACATAATTTTTCTTAAAATATATATAAAATCTTGTTGCCATATTTTATTGTTTAACCACTAATATTTAAGGAATACATAGGATCCTAAGAGAAAATATATGTTAATACTTAGTATAAATTATAAACAATTATTTTGTGTATTAGCATAAATTAGTATGTAGGCTATAAAATGATTGGATATTAAAAGATATAAGGGCTTTCATTAAGTCAAGGCAAAATATATTTTCTATTGAAGTTATGAAAAAATTTATAATCATTTGAGATCGATTATGAAGTATAAATTAAGAGGAAATCCTAAAATCATTGATTTCAAAATTTTGCTTAATTGATTGTTACGATTATTTAATATTTTGATGCATGCTATTTTGAATATATTATTGATTTAAATTATTTTGAATCTTAGAGTTTATAAAGCACAATGTGTTGTTGGAGAGAGAAATATCAATAGCATGATTATGCTTACTCTTTGCTTGGTAAGAAATAAACATATCCTTCTTCTTAGGGGCTTGTTCCTTGTTACTTGTTCGTATGCTTTAATTCTTGATAATATATTATGAAATATGGTTTATTTATTTGAAGAATTTCATGTGATCATACTGATATGATGTTATCATAAACTTTGTCATGTTACTTACTACACAAATTCTTAGGATTTTATGTTTATCATTTTGATTATTGGGAAATAGCCATTTCTCACACAAATCATGAAGTATATCGATATATAACCGAGTTTCATCATATTATATCATTAAGAATTGTTTCTTTAGTACAAAATGTATACAATATATGCATTTGTAAATGATGCATGTATTGTAAGTAAAAATTTTTTGGATATTGGTAAGTTGGATCAACTGGTCCATAGCGTGATGACATTTTTTGAAAATTAATGGATTTTCGAGAATTAGTGCCTACATTTTAGATTTTAATGTGTCATAGTAAAATTGACTATAGATATACACATATATAAAAGAAAATAATAAATGACTGATGTGTTATTTATGGATGTATAAGTACAGTATGCTTGTAAGTGGATGTTTTTCTATTTGAACATGACCACCTTGGTGCTTCAATTTTCCCTTCCTTGGCAAATGTGTTGTTGCTTCGGTCCCCCCCCCCTTCTTGCTTCGACCCCCCCCCCCCCCCTTTGCTATGTGGATGCTTCATTTTTTCCCCTTAGCGGCTGTCCATTTTTGTCCCTGTTTGTTACAATTTTCTAGGTGTTCCTATTGGCCGTTTGGGAGGTGCATTAACTACATGTATTAATTTTTTTCCCTATAAATGGGGTTATTTGTGGAAATTTTAGAAGCATGGATGTGTGATGATTTTTGGAATATGACTTGCGGGTTTGTTCTAGCTTGCGAGCTAGCCTCCTTTCCCCTTCCCCTCCACTATTTAGTCTCAATTTTCTACGTCTTCTTCTCAATCCACAGTTCCCGTCCCATCTGTATCTTTCTTCTCTTAATTAATATAAGTTGTAGAGGTTTTTTGTTCTAGTATTATTATATTATATATGTGTTTGTCTATGTTTATGATAAGGAAGACTTTTAGTTTGCAATCCTAATGAATTTTTTTTTGTTGCACCATAAATGATGCTCCAAGTGTAGCTAGAATGCATTAAATAATAAATGACATAGCATGAATGTGCATATTTTTATAATATAATAGATACCTTAATCATTTTAATCTAGATATATAGTAAATTGCATGTAATTAATAAACTTATTGGTCTATGTGTTAATAAAACTAAATAATAACTGTAATTGTTTGATCGTTTTTCTTTTATGCTTGTCATATCATAGTTTGGATTTAACCAAGTTATTTGTATATTAGGTTATTTTCTTATGTTGTATTATTTTCTTCATGTTGTGTGCTGTCACCTGCTTGCACATGAATAACATTTATTTAGGTTAATAACTATGCATATAATTTCATTTGTTTCTATAGTATTCATGTTTGATACCCATGTCCTTTTTTTAACTAGGGAAGTGCCAACATGCCACTACTTAATTTAACTTAGAAACAAGTATGAATTAATTCTATGCCCGTAAGGTGAATGTGTGGTGAGCATGTGATATATTTTGAGATTATATTATGATCACTGTACAAGATGTAAGGTTTTGTAATTATTTATTATATCTAATGTTTTTAATCTAAGGTCTTTGTGGGTTAGTTTAGTGTTAAACACTACCATTCCTCATTGCTCTATAATGTCATTGGACACTTGGGATGTTAGCTATTAAGGCAATAGAATTTTATAATTCTGTGATTTTTTTTCAAATTTAATGGCAGGGTGTGACAAGATTTGGTGAGTCACTGAACTATTTTAGATCAGATTAGAGAAACCAAAAGACTAAATTGGACACAATAAAAAATTAGGGATTAAAAAAACCTCCCATACATAGTCCAAGGTCCATTTTAACTTTTTTTCTCATTGAGAAATAATACATAAAATTCTGACTTGCCAAACATAATATCATTTAAAATGAACATAACTTAATTTACCACCTTATCATATAAAGGCCTAAAATTATATTGATAGCAATATTGCATGGAACTTTAGATTAGGGTATGAGGGATAGAAAATTATAGTTCATTCACATGGCACATTGATGTGAACATAGGATTTGTCATATACAAATTGATGTTCAAGAAGATTGCTTTGATGCCAACTGATGTAAGGAAAGGAAGAGATCAAATGAATGAATTTCACTAGGTATAAGAGGTTGTTGAATGATTTTCACTAGGTATAAGAAATTGTTTGTGACTATTACAGGTTGTCGAGAACGAAAGTAGGTAGGGAAACAGAATTATTGCAATAGGGAGCACAAATGTAAGGCTTGGGTGCCATGTAGACGCTGCAATCAAAAAGAGCCACTGGTCATTATGATCGAAGAATAAAAAAATATCAAATGAAGACATGAAGTAATATCAAAAGGGAAAAATCATGAGTGAAGGAATCTAGTGTGGTAGACAAACCCCAAAAAAAGTTAATCTCAAATTCTTTTAAAGAAAATTACATTTAGAAGAGAGAACCTAGAGAAAACGAAAGAGCAAGGAGAGAATATAGATGAGTGCATCATTTAATTTATATTCAATCAATAAAAATTCCAATTACAAATTTTAAAACCACTACTTCTAGAAATAAGGTTATAAGATCATCCAAAAATAAGAATATAATCCGAATTTAGATTAAGACCTTATGATCTATTATCTAATTTGAAATAAAATTAATTCTAATAAAAAATGAAATAAAAGGGGAATAAATCCTAAAATAAAATATTAAAAATAGAATTATTTTAAGTGTTGCTTCAATTAATCTTAAGTCCAATAATACTCTTCTTTTGAAGAATTATGTAGAAGCTATTTTCTGGAAGTACAATTTATTTGGTGGAGGAGGTGAAATAATTGCTTAAAGAGCATCTCTTTCATTTTTACAATATGTAGACTAAGCATATGAAGTAAAATTTAGAGGATTCAAATCTGATTGTCACCACACATTATATGCTTTTATTTGGTCAATAACATAGAAGATCATAAAGTCACATTGCAACCTACAATAGTAGCACAAAGTCAACATGCATGCGTAGAGATAAATCTTGAATGAAAATCAAAACATTATAAGTAATACGTCAATGATTTCTTTGTTGCTCAACAATCACATTTTTATAGTATAGGTGATCTAATAATACCATAGAAGAAACATTAAAGAGTTAACATGTTTTTGTGTGCTACCTAAATAATGCTAATAATGTCTAAAAAAAATAAGATATTTCCAAGAAATTCTAGTCACTAATTCCAGAATCTAATCAAGAAATAAAATAAATCATACAATTTTTTTAAAGTGAGGATTAAATAATTATTTCCTGGCTAACAAATTTATGTCCTGAAATTAATATTTTCTTGTATTAAGTTACCTTTTTGAATTTTCAATATTCTATATTTATTTCTTCAAAAAAAGCAAAACAACCAAATTTTCTTTTGAGAGCATTAATTTGTGGATTTTTGTAAGAGCCATGTGCACACTAGACAACAAATTGTTGTTAGCACATTACAACTAAATAATAAATAAACATCAAAAACAAAAAACTCGAGAAGAACTAAGTATATAAACACTCTTTTCATGAATAATATTCAAAATTAAAAAAAAAAATTGACGTACATATGAAATTACAATATTATACATACTAGTAGGCTTATTTGGTGGCTCTGGTGCAATACAAAATTTATGATAGTTTCGTAGGATTTCACAAATTTCTGTTGGTCGCAACCACCTATGTTGTGCTTCTTGAAGTATTTTCTCAATATCTAGGAAAGAAATGAGAACATGGGATTAGAACTCAAGTTAAATTGGATTAAAATTCAATTAAATAAACGAGAAAAAAGCATTTGAGTGAGAATGTAAAAGGATCTAGACACTGAGTTCACACAATAACAATCATAAGAACATATATCAAGATATTACTTAACATCAATAATTATCAAGCATATTTTGCAAAAAATATAAGAAAATTAAATTAAGTTTGATACTAATATGGTGCATCATGCACAAGATAGAAGAATTCACTGTAATGACCCATTTATTTGGAAGTATCCACTAGAAAATCATTAAATTTACCTAAATTGTGCGCAATTTAAGAATCGGGCTAATGATGATAGTGATGACAAAGTTTCTACGAAATAGACGAATTTCTATCATCATCGCCATCATAAGCACATCCAAAGTATTTAGGAAAGACTTTTCCTTTGCTCGCATTTCTTCTAAGGACAAAAGATTCATAAACAATAATGCAATAACTAGATGTTTATTTATACCTAAAGAAAGATATATTATATGATAAATGTGATTTCAACACACCCACTCCTAATCCCACCTCAAGCCATTTGTTTTTAGTCACTCATTTCTTTATTATAATAAGAAAAAAATATTAAAATACTTATTAATAATGGGTTGTGTGGTTTCGTAAGTGAGTAGATCGAGCACTTCTCATTCAATATAATCCTTATTATTGAGTGTTGAGTCACATCATTCCCATGGCTAAAGTTGCTTCTCATGACCATAAAAAGTTCAACTCTTTGCTATGACATTTTACATGTGTCTGAAGTTATCAAATCGGGCCAAAAATCAACATAGAATACAATGACTTGAAACTAAAGGTTCTTTATAGCTTAATAGGTACAAGCTCAGCTTCATTTGATAGTGTTGTGATGTGTTTCTTTTTTTTTTTATCATATGAATAAAGCAATAGATATTCTCAAATAAGTGAAAAAATGTGATTTCTAAGTGCAATCCTCAAAGTCCTAAAGCCATTCAGAATGTTCAAGAGCAATAAAATGCTTTCCTTCATGTGTTTCTAATAAAAATCAAAATTGCTTATTTAAGATTTTTAAAAAACAAAGTAACTAAAAAGCTTTCCCCACAAAAGCCTTTGTTTAAGGAAAAAGCTTTACAAAGGAATGGATTATCATGCCAAATGAGTCATACTCCCATCATCAATAAAAAGGAATATACTCCTAAATTGCACCATCATCCCCACATCCCAATTCATATAGATATAATGTCTCCGATATCATGCATGCTTAAGTTTTTTCAAAGCCTCTAGGTTAAGCTTGTGATGATAAAATAAACTTGAAATAATAAGTCTATAAATTGTACAATGATAGCTTAATCAATTGGAGAATTAAAAAAACTTTATATATATATATATAAAGTGTACTATCCTCCACAATTATTTTTCTATATTTCTACTTTACAAGTAAAATCAAGATTACTGGTGTTAAACCCTAAGAAAAAAAACTTGGTAATATAATTTGATCGCTTTTTTAATGAAGATTAGGCTGCTAAACAACTTGATTAAGAAGTAATGGCTCATAATACCCTCATTAAAAGTACTAAAGCTGCATAATTTTCTTGAAACCAAATCCATTTAAATTAGTCTAGATTTCTTTTTTAAATATGCTCAAAAGAAATCAGTTGATTTGGGTATTCATACACCATGAAATTAATGAATTAATTATCTCACTTTCTAAATTACCCCTTAGGTTGTTACTTTAAATTATTTGATACACAATCAAATCATCTTGAAATTTAATTAAATTTGAATAAAGTTTAATATGAATGATCTTAAATTATGAAATGGCTGAATTATAAAAAATAAGCCAAAATAAATACATTAAAAATGTATCTTCCCACGCACATTAGCAATCATCATCATGCTAAGGAGGTTGTTTTGCAAGTTGCAACAGCTATAAAGAGGGATGGTGGGAGCTCATTTCTGCATGCACGCATGCGCACTACTGGTCATCATGACAAGCAGGTAGCTTACAATAGCTACGTAGAGGGGAGATGGGTGGTAGGAGTGCAAATGAGTCAAGCCAGCTCACGAGTTGGCTCAAGCTCAACTTAATAATGAGCTCACGAGCCGAGCTTATCAAACCACAAGCTATGGCTGAATTAATTGCTCCTTAAATAAGGGAACTCGAGTTCGAGTTAGACCAAACTTGACTCATTATCTCATCTAGTCACTCAAATAGCCCGTGGAGTAGATTGAGGGGCTTCTCAAAATCAAAATTTATGAAATATAACCTTAGGGTTATTTTAAACAACTATGCTTCTCTTATTTTAGGGTTCAACATTTCACCTTTATAACTCCATTCTCGTCTCCTGCATCGCCGCAACTCTTACGTCTTCATTGTAATTTTTTTCCTTTGATGTTGGCTTTCCACTTTTGCTTCTGCAGGTAGAACCCTAGGTGTAATTTTTTAACTTTGCTAGATGTTTTGAATTTATGCTGCCAAAAATAAATTAGTTCTTAATGTTTATAAACTGCTCCAATAAAGTGTTGAAATATAATATTTCAAACAACTTTAACCATATCTTCAATACTGATTCATACTGAATTTTTTTCTAGAAAACATCAATAGGAGGTTACTTGCACTGTGCTACAACCAAGTCTATAAATATTCTCAAACAGTATAATTTTCAACTGATAAAGTTCAAAGTAGAATGTCTAATTTGTTGAGATCACCAGAATTCAATTGCTCCTCAAAACTAAACTAGTGCTCATAAATCCAATTCAATCTAATAAGGTCATCATAACAAGGTTCCCTCAACTCAACCTAGTAAGGGCATCATGCCAAGGTCACATGCAGCAGCTGGGGTAAAAAGAAATCAAGAAATTCTTCCCCACTTCCAAAACGAATTAAAGACACAATTTAAAGGACGGAAACACCCGCTCTCGCAGTTCGGTCTGAGGAACATGAACTGGCGTTTATATGACGCCCCTTCAGTTCAAATCATTACTATAAATAAATAAGTTCGACAACAAAGTCAACAGACCCTCACCAAGCACCGGAGCAACCCCCGTGCGGCGGTTGACAGCCATAAGAGAGGCAGCACACAAAGCCACAACAATGGTAAATTCACGGATCGAACTCAAAGCACCAGCGTAATCAGCACGGAAGGCTGGTGAGCAAGGAAACCTCCCGCACTGATACAATTGTTTCTTCCACTGACACCAACTACAGCAACGAAGGGCATAAATAGGCGAATTGAGGGCGTCTGAACCTTCCAGGAAATCGGATCAAGAACTGGGGCTTCTCTAAAGTAACATAAAGAATGAATTAGAAACAACCGATTTCAACTTATTTGTAAGGTGATTGGATAGGAGGAAGGAAGCCGAGAAGAAGGAGGTGCTGATTTGGAAACCAGAGCCAGAGTGGGCAAGTGATTGCAACTCTTCCACTCCTCCGGTAGGCAGCTCTGATAGAAATACCAAATTAACGAAAACACCCCTGACATCTCATTTTTTATTATATAAATCCATATTTATATCAATTTTATAAATCCTACCTCATATTCTATTTTTTAATAATAAGTTGAAGTTTTTCAAATGATAATTGTATTCCAAAGTCCCGCATTGGGTACTCATGCTCACACTCTCTCAGATAGTGGGTGGGTACTCAACATTAGGGGATAAATCGATTTACATTGATAATCACTATATGCAGTATATTACTTAATGCACATCACTAAACAAAGCTATGACCACAATAAATTCAGATACGCAGCTTGAAAGTTTGCATTCAGAGCAAAGGTTAATAAGCCTCAAGGCCATCAGTCCATGACGGACTGCATTCAAAAAACGTAGAAAAAGTGAGTGGATATGGGTGGATACATCTGGGTACATCATACAGAAAAAGTCAACATGGGTAGGCTGTGGGTGGGTGAAACCCGCTCGCGCACAGCGTTGGAACTCAACTAGGACCCCATTTAGGGCTTTGTTGTATTCTCATTGTCTCCAACCAAAGAGGAGCATACAGCCATAATTTACTTAAACTAGATCATTTCGTCTAGACTATATATCATAAGTTTTTCTAGAGTTTTTCACATAAGAACATTAGTGTTTCTCATGTTCTTCCCTTTTTATCGATATATATAACATATTTATATAGAATTAAGACGTAAAATTATATATCTATCATCAAAAACTTTGTGGTTGTGGCACACATCAATTATTTTGATGTATATCTATTTTAACATTCAAATTACCTTGAAAGTCAAATGGGCTCCAAATAAACTATCAATATATATTCTGCTTCGTTCCAAATAGTTTTTTTACTATTTTATAAAACATTTTTTTAATAAAAAATTAATTTTTTTTACTAAAAAACACCATCCCAAACAAAGTCCTAATCTCCATGTAATCAGTACATCCGATGCTCACTATCACTTGCAATCATCCTCTTAGCTAAATAATCAATTACGTTAATATGATTAAATAATATTTTAAGCTTTCACTACATTTTTTTTTTTTAAGTTCTTAATTAATATATGATTTATTTTCATGATTAGATTGAGGTCATTTTGGGAAAGAGGCGAAAGAGCGGTTGCTGAGAGATAAAATAATTGTCCATTATAATACAAATAATATAATAAAATAAAGAGAGAGAGAGAGAGAAACCATGACTGCAATTTAGTTGACTGGCGAAAGCTTGGAACTTGAAAGTTCTCACATACGTTTTTGTGCCCTCTGTAGCTTTTTGAGTCTAATTTATTTCAGTTTAATACAATCCTATGAAGCTCATCATTGTCTGTTAGTTAAAGAATTTCAGCTATTAATTAGAAGTTTTTAATTCTAATCTTTTATATGTAATAAGTTTATGAATTTGATTTAATTAATCTAAATATTAAAAAAATAAAAAAATACAATTCTATAGGGTCTGTTTTATTGTAGTGTAATGGATTTTTAAGTTGATATGAATTAATTAAGAATATCAAAACAGTTATTGTGTGCTGAGTTGGGTTTGATTAAATTTACTAATATAGGCTTCGTTTGGGATAGCTGGACAGCTTTCTTATTGTTTCTTAAAGCAGCTTTTTATTATAAAAATTTAATTTTTTTGTTAGAAATCTACTGAAGAAGCAATAAGAAAGTCGTCCCAAACGAAGCCTTAATTTTTCTTAGTTATAAGCTAAGGAAAATTTAAAAAAAAAAATGCAGAGAAAAATCATAGGCTTGTTTTAGCTTAACTTTGAGTGATTTTCTCCTTAACATATTTCATCAACTATCTAGAAGTCAAGGTAGGATCATTTTATCTTTTTTTATTTTTATTTTTGCTATTGTTTTTTTATTTTTAAAACATGTTTTTTTTTTAAGTCAAATAAGTAATTATTATTTTAAAAAATTCAAAATAAAATTTTGATGTCATATAAATTTGTTAAAATAACTTTCAATATCACCAGTTGTATGTAACTCACCTTTGTTTATTGGTTGGTTGGGATCTTTGACTATCAACTAAGAGATCTTGAGTTCGAAGCTTACGTTGTGAGTTTACCTTAATTGACTCAAATGTCAAAAAAAAAAAAAATCAAATATAGTTTGTTTTAAATTTAAATATGAATTAAAAAAAAATCAGAATTAAAAACAAGAATGAACCCAAACAGCTGTTTAGTTAATGATTTGTGGGGTAAAAATTTCAAATACAAAATTATTTCATGTCAGATAAAAAATTAATAGAATTTATGCCAAATGATAAGTTAATTACCATATTATAAAAATAAATAAATAAGTCAAGTCCGATGCTTGAAATCACAAAATACAATAATTGAGTAAGGCGTGACGATGCAATTCGGAAAAAAAAAAGTTTGAATCAAAATTTATCACTCAATCACGAAGTTAACTAATTATTAAAAAATTAAAATAATTCTTAAATAGATAAAAGGTCGCTAAAGTGGAGAACTCCATCACGCATGTACAAAAAATAACTTTCTCCAAAATTTCAAAAGATTTGAAAAAATTGCATACAATCCAAAAAAAAAAAAAAAAAATCCCATTGAATCAAAAAAGAATGAAGCTTCTAGTCTCCTTTTTCCAAGCCAATGACTCATATTTATGAAGAAATTGAATCATAAAGCATATTGTTTGAATTTGTGATCTTTCGATTTATTACAATCTCCTTTAACCAATGTACGGTGGGTAGGACTTCAAGCGAACCAAACGTTCGACGAGCTACTCGTTGCTTGGTTTAATTAAAGCTTGTTTGTGATCGTTTAACTAACTAAACAGAAAAACTTGAACAACATTTTTAATACTCGATCCTTAAATAAACAAATTTGAACACTAACGTGTTCTATTCATTTATGATCACGAACAACTTCATTTGAAGCTCGTGAACAAGTTTGACATTAAGCTTGATATAAAGCTCGATTAGTGTTCTATTTAGAACTCGTGAATAAGCACGATAAATATATTCATATAAGATTAATCATAGATCGTTTATTCTTGAAAGAGCTCATTTGGTAGCTCGAAAATACTAGTTACGTATTTATTCATAATATTGCTCATTTGATAGCTCAAGAATATTCATTAGAATTATTCATGAACCTAACCTGCTTGTTTGATAGTGTAAAAAAAATTGATAAGCACTAAACAAACCGAGCATGAACCAAACATGACACTATTAATTTAAACGAATCAAACATGAACACAAACAATAAGACTTGATTTATGTAAACAAACCTACACAGACAAATTTACCTCTTAGATGAGTGCTTCTAAATCAAAGTCCATATGAGCATTCTTCGTCTCTTTAACGAGCTTGCTTGATTTATGTGACCCATTCAAAATTTACTATTGTAACGTAGAACGTAGATTGATAGCTTCTAACCTTCCACGATAAATGGCTATATAAAATATGTTGAATTCCAATAGTTATATTTATATGAAACTTTTAACCCATTGCCAAAAATTCCACAAGAACATCATATTTACATCTCGGCAAGTTTAATTTATTATTTCATATATTACATACATATATTTTATTAAGCATGGGTAATTAGAACTTAATCGTGATTACTTATAAAACTATATTACACTTAAATAGTTCTTTTAATTCTCACTCCACTAGATTTATTAAGCAGCTTTTAGGGTTTAGGCTAGTATCATTCTCTCAACCTCTATCTTGTAAGTTCTTTTCATTCTCCTATTAGAAAGCTTTTAAAAACCCATTTATACAATTAGAGTAGATAGTCTATTATGACCTTCTTAGAACGCAGTACCTATAAAAGATAATTTAGGACCACTTTTTATTTTTATTTTTTTATTTTTACTTCAATATTTAAATACGAAATAAAAATGTATTCGTTATTCTAAATACACGCTACTTTTCATTGCATATTACATAAAAAATGATAGACAAATAAAAAATGGGGTTGATTTGTCAATAAAAAAAATGAAAAACACTAACAAAACCTTTTTGGAAGATAAAAAATAATCCTAAATAACACCAAAGAATTTGATTGTAAGCTTATATTTGTTAATGCGTGCTTTGGAAGCATAAGAGAGCTATTCCAAACAAAAGAAAGCTGTCCCAAACAAAACAAAACCAGTCTCTTGGCTCAAAAAAGAAGAATATGTCTTCGTTAAAATTTTTTTATTAAAAAACTATCTTAGGAAGCATAAGAAAGCTGTTCCAAACAAAGTCTATCTCTGGGCTCAAAAAAAGAAAACAAGTTAAGAGTACTTCTGACTCCTCGAGAGAGTTGCCCAAAATTGGGATTAGCAATACTTATATATGTGCCTATAACAAAGACCAAAAAGCAGAGAATTTACCACTCCTCTGCAACCATAAGAAGAATGCTCACATATTGAACTTCTAATACCCAAAAAAAGCACATACCATGATGTAGGCCAGAAATGTCTAATATGTTATGCTTTCTGTAAAATGCAACATCGAGAAACAAGACGCTTTTATTATCAAAGGCAAATTCAGCAACAGATATGAATCTATAGACTGATGGCCATGGACAAACTTGTGGATAAACATCAAAAAAAAGCCATGAAGCAGTGCAGATAAGTAGAGCTAAGAAATACTATAAAAATTCAATTTAATGACCTTAAGCAATTCCCCCAATAAAAAAAACAACTTTCAAACCACAAGTACCTTTTTCTTTGGCCCTTCAAACAAATTGGCATGAGCTGTATAAATAAATCTACTAGGCATTGCTTGGGATCATAAATATATTACAGACTTCAATCTGTTATAATATAGAAATTAATGATCTTCATTGACCGATCAAATGTAGATGCAGTTACTATAATAATGAAATTAAACCATCATACCACCACCGAGGGGATAGATCCATTGAGACTAATGTAATGCATCAGATTCAACAGCAAAAACAGCAACATAACACCACGGCATCAGCAACCACATGGGACAGCAACACAGCTTTACCCCCATTCTCACACTCCGCAGGAACACCAGCTCATCTCTCACAACTCACAGCTACAGCCTGGGCCATGTCATGTTACCACATGTCCGAAGATAACAATAAGTCAAAACTATTGTCATCTCATTCAACAAATTGAATCTCAAAGGAGGACAATATCTGTAACAATTTGGTTTTAAACTGATGACGCTACTTACCTGATGTTCCCGAAACCAGCTTTAATAGGAATTGAAAATAGAAAAGGAGCATCTCATGTCTCCAAGGCTACAATATGTTAAGAAAGAATGACATTCCAACTTCACCGTTTATTTCAACAGATTGGTTTTAGTGGAGTAATGAAACCTTTTTTTAAAACTAGGATGAGAAGAGCAGCATGTTGTTACGAACATCATCATCCATGTATCACCATCAGCATCAATGATATCATCAACATGGATTAACATCAACATGGACTACAATGTTAGAATGACCTTCAAACTTCACTTTTATTTCAATTAAAGTTGATTTTAGTCGAGTAATGAAACCTTTGTTTCCCTAGGATGAGAAGAGCACAGCATGCTTTTACGAACATCATCATCCACATATCAACATCAGCATCAAAGATATCATCAACACGGACTAACAGCAACAGCAAGGACACCCATTTGCATCACCTCACTATCAGCCGCTAATCAGCTACAATTACTGTTTTCTCCAGCAAAGCTATAAATTGTAGGATCTACCACAAGTCAGCATACAATTTACAGAAAATAGAGTAAAAGCTTAAAAATAATAGAGCAGTGGAAGTTGCAGAAGGCTACATCACAGATAAACAATTTTTCCAACAAAATCCAGGTGGCTAAAACTATAGCCAAAACGCAATGAGTTGAGAAGTGTGCCAGAAACAAAGAAATAGATAGTAACAACTAGGAAACTCGTGACCTTGGAAAGCAGTCCAGAGAAACTTTAGATTAGTTCATCCAACATTAACGATTATACAGGCAACTAGGAAGGGATTAACTTTCCACCATTCTTGAGCTGGAACTGAGAGCAATCAATCCTGCAAAAACAAAATTACTTAAAGCAAGCATGCCATGGTTGTCGGAAATGAAAATGAAAGTTTGAAGTAGATAGGAAGACCTCATCAGAATTGCGAGGAGAGGGACTACGAGAAATGGCACGACGCCCTTTTGGAGAAGCACTTCGAGAAGGTGAACGCTTGCCACTGCTGCGTTTGTTGGGGCTTTCATCACGGTAAGGTGGACTCCCACGGGGAGAAAGAGATGACTTACGAGGAGACATGCTCCTCCTTGGGCTAAGACTACGACGATCAGATGCACTGAGGAACAAAATGCAAATTACACCGCTAACTGAACCATTGTTATAGCAATGATGGTCATCAAAATTACCTGTCAATGGAACGGCTTCTGCTCCTCTCCCGCTCATCATCATAGCCTCTGCCTCTACCATGACTTCTGTGATAATCAGGGCTCATGCTACGACTGCGGCTTCGTCGACGATAATCTCTTTCCCTCTCATGGTATCTATCACGTTCATACCTCCCTTTGCTTCGACTGCGGCTTCTCCTTCTGTAATCTTTATCTCGATAATAATCATCTTTATACCTGAGATCATTACAAAAGAATGGAAATCACAATCCTTATAATCACAACTTCATGAATCTTCCACTAATTCCAATTGAATGATACAAGAATGTGAATTGTAGTAGTTGGTCTTTTGAATAAGATGAAGCCCTCCAATAAATATGCATGACTAAACCGCCTAAAAATGTTTTACACAAGCACATTCATAGCATCTCCCTAACATTATACTTTCTGACTCTACCCTTTATTTCCCGTTATTACTACATAACACTCTTTTTCACTTTCATCACACTTTAGCTTGCTTATTAGTGACTCATTTGTTTCAAAACATCTAAATCCACATGGCATTGTTGACCAAACAATAATTATATAAAATTTTCTATAGTTAAAACAGGTCCACTTAATGTTAATCCAGGTCAACAAGAATGGAAAATAGGTTCACTTAACGTTAATCCAAGTCATCAAGAATGGAAACTGTTCATAAGTATTAATGAAAAGCTTGTAGAGTAAACAAAAACTGGTTGTCATGCATAGCTAAGGAAGCAGAGTAAGAAATAACTTTTTATGAAAGTATGATGAATTTCAAACTGAACTAACAAAAACATAACGCAAGCTAAATGACCATCCAACCAATCTTCAACATGTGAATACATCTAAGTGCCATGATAGCTATAAGAAGGCCAGTTATGCACTGGCAACGGTGAAGAAAACGGTGCCTTAAGTATAAAATCACACTAAATAGAATTGGATCAATGTTAATAATGGGTTAAGTGAATCTACCTATAACCAGATGTGAACGTAAAACATAAAAACACATGTATAACCACAAACACAATAATCATTCAAAGGCTCACAAAAGATAGCATCAACCCTTACTTAGGCCTGGGACTGCGGCTTCTAGACCTGCCCCTAGACTTTGGCAAAGCTTCGACAATTCTTCCTTTGTGGCTGCAATTATAATGAAAATGTAATAATTAGGAAAATAAATAGAAAAAGGCATTGCATGCGAAAAAGAAGCTAATGTTACTGAAAGAATGCCCATCAAACCATATAGAAACTACATAAAGCAACATTTGATTTAAGAAGAAAATGGAAGGCTCTGAAGTTGAGTGAAAAGTATATTAAATAAAGCTCCACAATAATCAATATGAAATTCTCAATGTGCTATATCATGCACATAGAACACAGTACAAACTACTAAACTAATGACCTTACAATCCAGTACATCCATATAGTTTCCATGAAAAAAAATAACATGAATGATCAGACAGTGCTGCAGTTTTATCAGAAGTTATTGAAAACATTAAGGTTATATGCTTGCCAAGCCCCATGGTCCTAATCATCATGCTACAGACTTGCTTGAGAGAAGCGAGCTGCCAAAAAAGAAGCTATTCAACTTAACAAGGAAATTTCAGTTATGATGATTATTCAGAAGAGCGAAAATAGATGTTGAACTGAATTAATAACAAATTCTTAAGCTTCATCACATTCCATGAATCAAAATTTTGCAAATTTGAAATTATTAAATAATGTAATGCAATTAAGTAATTTAACAGTCAAACCCCTTCAGCTTGTAGCATTCATGCAGTGTATAATCTAATCCTCACAGTTATCCGTTCCATCTTTATCTTTATCAATAAACTCATCCCAATCAATGGCTTATAGATTATTTTTATTCAAACAAGAAATGCTAGCTGCTAAGTATGGCATGGAAGAACAAATAGCATTATTATCACTAAAACATTAAGGGTTAACATGATAAGCTATAAAAGCAAATTTCCATCTTACTATCAATTATAATTTACACTCAATCCTATTTAAGATGTTGCAACCAATTCAAATGTAACATTTACAAAACAAATTGAAAGCATTCAGTTTTGGTTTATAAATTTAAACTGTATTATCAAACTTCTATCATAATTTCAACTATTAATTCACACTAACAATCCTGTTTAAGATATGCAACCAATTCAATAGTGAGCAAGGTATCTAAGGAAAACAAATTGAATGAATTGCTCTTCAAGCTAAAAAAAACAAAAAAACAAATAGAATGCATTTTCTAATTGATAAACTGATTATATTAAATAAGATTCAAAAAAGAAAAATCAATGATGCCTACATTCGTTCAGCATTTGGTCCATATTTGGCAAACTGAACCATGATCTCCCGTCCATCCACATTCCTTCCTGTTGTTCCAAAATAGAAACATAACATAATAAAGAGAGAGAGAGAGAGAGAGATCAATCCCATTATGCAGAAAATATAAATTATTGATTACTGCCAGGTGAAGCAGAGAATTAAATTACCATCAAGTTTCTCCACAGCTTTTTGTGCCTCATCTGCATACTTGTACCTCACAAATGCAAAGCCACGAGACTCCCCAGTCCTAGCAATTCAAGGAAAAAATTAAATAAATTTTTTTTAAGCACCACAACAAGTCCAGAAACATTCTTCTAAAAAAAACCCTAAACTTTTAAAAAGATAACAATCACTAAATGAAATATATAAGATATATAAGATTTAAAAAAAAAACATTCTTTTCAACCCTAAACTTTTAATTAGAAAAAGCAGTGAACGACCCAAATAAAAAAACACAGTTATTTGCTTAAGGAGAGTTTGGAGCTGCGAGATACCTGCGGTCTCTTGGAATGAAAATATCAACAACTTTCCCGTATTTATCAAAGAGGGGAAATAGATCGTCCGCCGTAGTCCCTGCAAAAGAATCAAGACACGGAGAATATGCAGCCCAATGCCCGGTACAATAAGAGGAAAGATTTCAATCACATCGAAACATCAAACGACAGTGAGGAGAGAAAATTACTGAAGGTAATATTCAGGACGAGGAGAGAGTATGTGTCCTTGATATCCGGCGGACCCGACCTCCCGAAGTGCGACATCTCTCACGAGAGGTAGAGCGAGGTTTGGAGCTAGGGTTAGGGCTTCGAGTAGAAAGGAGCGATGCCAAATAGGAGCGCCTCGTTAATGTTAACAATGAGGCATTCTGATATATATATATATATATATAGGGCTGTGAGTATTTTTCACCAATTGGACATTGTAATAAATAATTGCATATCTACCCTCCGATAAGCCACGAGCGTCGCACGTGATTCTATCCCCAATACTGAACTATTTTCGGTCTGTGCTAAAACACTTTGGGCCGTTTTTACGTGAAGGAAACCATTTGCTTTATTTGAATAAAACTTCATGTTGTCCATAACTCACACCGTGGTCTGTTCATCGAGAGTTTGACTATCAATTAAAAAAAATTAAATTTGCGCTTTATATATTTAAATTCCCCCAAAAAAAAGTTTTATATGTTTGATATATGTAAATTTATCTTAATATATATATATATAGCAAATAGTTTTTGAACTATAAAATATTTATTTTAGAAATATTATTACTTATTGCATGTTTTTGAATTAATAAAATCCTTATAACTTTTTTTTTATATATATTTAGGATAATTAAGGCATATTCATACACACATCACATAAATAAGACACGAACTTAATAACAATTAGTTGATAGCCTACGCTCCCAACCAACACGCCATAGTGAGATGTGCGCATTATACCTTCTCATGTTGGCTAGAAAATGAATAGATTGTAAAAGGAATATTTTGAATTTATTTAGATAAGTGTAAAATAAATTTAGGTGAATGATTTTTTATTTAGTTTT